GAAGATAACTCTGCTTTAAGAGATCAGTATCTAAATGAAGTTGAATAGTATAAAATTGAAGTTAGTATTTTAGGTTATATATTTTAATATACAATATAATAAATTTAATTTCTTATCTGTTATTTTAGACTATAGTTATATTACTTGAGCTTATGATAAAAGTGATACCAATTTTATCATTATTATTTTATCTAACAATAGAGGATTTGCATATGATATTTCTACAATTTTAAATACTTTACATAGTACATTAGATAGTAAAATTCAAATAAATAAGCAAATTATACAATGAATATATAAAAAACTTAATAACTATTAAACTATTTTTCAAATTTGTTGTAGCATATCAGTTGCATTAGATCTATCTATAAAATTATTTTTGTTTAATAGTGAAATAGCCAAAATTATACATAAGCTACTATATAATACTTATATATAAAATAAAGAATCTGGCTCATTTATTGCTGAAAATACTAATAATTCTCTAAGAAATTACTTTAAAAAATATCAGAATGAAAAGTTAAATACTACTTTTAATATTTTTAAAGAATACATTATAGCTATTGAGAAAAATTATAATTCTTTGAACTTCTAAAAGATACAATCTGCTGATCTAAGTTACTCTAGACTCTCAAAAATGTAAGAAACTACTTGATCATACAAACAACAAGTATACTAAACAAAGAAATGTTTTCAAAGGCAAAAAATACAATTAACTTAATATATAATAGGTTGTTAGAAGAAAATACTTCTGCAAGCCTCTGTTTAAAAACTTGTATGAAGTGGGTATTATTGATATAATGAAGATTAATAAATTGGTAAATAAATAATAATGATAAATACAATAATTATTATAATGTAGAAATTTATATATGTTATGCCTCATATTGGTTCTTACCTCAGGTAACAACTAAAGCACTTCAGGTGTTGATCTTCATATAAGATGTGTAACATATCAATTAGTTACCTGAAGTATCTCAGTTATCATCTAAGACAAGATAATTTGTATAAAAAAAATTTAGACATTAAATATTTATTTGTAATACATACTTAGAAAATAATGTGATTTCTATATTAGTAATTGCTTCATTATGCAATAATTAAATAAATCTAAAGCACAGTAAAATCGAATAAAAAATAAGTCATGAGCTTAGTAAACTGATTTTTTCTTCTCTTCAAATAAAATTTATATACTTCATTATGTTATCCTACTATGCTCTAAGAATTATTCTATCAAAAGTTATTATATCAACGTGACTATATACATATTTTCAATGCCTTCAAAAATGGAATATAATTTTATTAGTAGAAGTACTCTTAATAAGATTCTTAAAAATTATGTTTCTAATCTTCCTGAATTAAAACATAAAAAAGCTTTAATTAACCGTGAATTATATAATAAAATAAAGCATATTTTACTAAATCCTTAAAATACTTTACTTTATAATAAAAATATGAGAGTCTGGGCCAAAAAACAGTTCTAACTTGAGGAAATAGTTTCTGGTGACTATAGGATTATTGTAAAGGCAACCAATAATCTAATGTTGATTACTGAAAATATGTATAAAACACTTTGTTAAGTTCACAGTCAAATAACTTAACATGGAAGTCAAAAACAAACTTGAAAAATCATAAGAGAAAAATAGAGCTAGATGAAACAAGATATCATTGAACAATTCATCAATAATTATGCTATATACGCTATTTGCAAACTAATGTTTTATCCTTTAGCTGCCAAGCTAATTATCACAAAAAATTTTTTGTCCTATATTCAAGTAGCATATTTTATTTGCTTTATTTTATTTATTTTTTTTTCATAATTAGATATCCTTAAGCACTTTATTTTATTTGTTTTATTTATTACTCTTATCTTTTTTTTTTCCAAATTAATCTAATAGATATGACCTTTAATCTGAATAGAGAGTTTAAATATATATGCCACATACATGATCACTTTTTATAATTTTTTTGAGCAAAAGCTCTTATTTCTAAAAGAATAGTTGAAGTAGCAGCCTACCTGTTCGATCTTTTTTATTTAATAGGATCATCTTCTGTAATACTTTAGTCAGACAATAGAAAAGAATTTTGTATGAAAATTATTAAAGAATTAATGGAATTATAGCTATCAGCAAAAATATAAATGGGCACCCTAGACACTCTCAGTCCTAAGGACTTATAGAACAGGCAAATAGAATATTGGAACAAAAAATAGGCAAATAGAAGGAAGAAACAGATCATGATAACTTGTCATTTAGCTTATAATTTGTAATCACTGCTATGAACACCTCATGGTATTGAGCATATAAAAAGACTTCTTATGAACATGTTTATGAGAGTAAACTTTGCAAAAATTATATATTAGTTAATGATTTGTTTGAAAGAAATATTTGTGATGAAGAAGAAATTTTGAGTACTATTGATATTCAGAGTGATTCAATTATGAATTTGGATAATAATATAAATGATAAGGTTTTATATAATTGCTATAATTCCTGATTCTATAATTAATTATTTATTTTTAAGACCAATATATAGAATCACTATTTGAGGAACTAGACAATGTAGGTAAATTTAAATTTATAACAATTTATCTTGTTAAATTTTTTTCATTAATAGCATTCATAATTTTTAGACAATAATACTTTGGGCACTTAGCATTTGTTATGATCTCAATAATTTTTTACATTATTAACTTAAATTTTATAATTTTTAGAAAGAAACTCTGAGTCAAATAACAATAATTATATATGGAATAAATTAATATTTTTTTATATTCTTTCTCTCTTTTCTAATTTATTAACTTGCATTCTAAATTTGTAGATAAAATTTCTAAACTTCTATACTATTGAGAGAATAGTGATGATAATATTTCGAGTAAGTTAATATATTTTACAATATTTTATTCTTATTACTGCTAACTTATATTTTAATAGATAAAAGCATAGAGCCTTTCTATCATCGATATGATGCTTATATTTTGAGTAAGTTTATATTTGATATGATCTATTTATACTATTTTTGCTATTAACTTACATTTTAGATTTGTAGATAAAAGTCTGGAGCAACAAATAAATAGTGGTGACAATACTTTAGGTAAGTTCAGAAGTTTACAATTGGTACAATTTATCTTATTACTTACTGTTAACTTATATTTAAATTTATAGATAAAAACTCAGAACTATATGATCAATTAGTTTGTAATAATAATATTTCAGGTAATTAGTTTAATACAGTTTAATTTATTACAGTATCATTTACTAATATTACTATTTTTAGATATAAGCTCAGAAACTTTGCAACAGCAACTAGATAATAGCAGTAGCTCTATCACTATGAGTAAGTTTAGATTATTAATTAGTTTAGTATAGTTCAATTTCATTTACTAATATTCTTATTCTTAAATACAATCTTAGGAACTTTGCAACAGCAACTGGACAATAGTAGCAGCTCTATTGCTATGAGTAAGTTCATATTACTGATTAGTTTAATATAGTTTAATTTTATTAGTGTCATTTAATAATATCACTATTCTTAGATACAAGATTAGTATCTTCACAATGGCAACTAAATAATATCAGTAGCTCTATGAGTAATTTCATACTACTGATTAGTTTAATAAGTTCAATTTTATTACAGTGTTATTT